TYWTKRAAWGTWATWTTTTAGAWWTTMYAAAAAAAAAAAAAAAAAAAAAAAMAGAGAAATTCGGAAAAAATATTTAGTATTTTCAGTTAATATAATTATTATTTATTTGTCTATATAAATTATTGGTTTTTACATATTGTTGTTATCAAAAGATATTTATTAAGAAGAAATTGTATTTGTATTGAATAGTTTGTGAACGTTGTTTTTTCTTTTTTCTTTTTTTTTACACAGCATAAAAATTTGTTTGTATAAAACATAAAAAGTTGTGTACAAAATAATTTGTACAAGTCAGGAAAAGTGTATAGACATTTTTCTAAATTAAAGTTCATTACTTTTTTTTTTTTTTTTTGTGTAATATAAATATTATATATAATAATTATGAGGAAGAAATTTTTGTATTTAAGATGAGAAGTTCTCGAATATTAACTACTACTTTATCAATTAGCTCATTGTAAATATGGGCACATATATGACGAAATTTTTATTAAATGTATATTCCACAATAATTATGTTGTTTGAATACAATTTAATGCCAATTTAAGAGCATTTTTCGAATCTTCGAATGGATCTGTTACTTTTGCACGATTAACTGTTACCGGTTTTTCTAAGAAAAATTTCAACGTGTCCTTTGTCTGTTGAAGGAAATATTCCTTTTTGTTGATTTTTTCTAATGCTTTGAAACAACCTTCCAAATTCCAATCAATTTTTCCATCATTCTTATCTTCACTCTATAATCAAATTTATAGTGTCATACAATGAAATTTATCAATTTAAGACACATATATAGTTAAAATACTTACCTTTAATAAACCTAAATATACAAGTAAAGTATTATTCAACATTGTAATTTGTTTGTGTTTTACAACATATGCAAAAAGTTCCGCATATAAAATGTCTGTAAGAAGTTCTGCTTTTAATCTAACATTCAAAAGTCTACTTCCACAGAAAGCAGAAACATTCATAATTAATCTGATAAATTCTTCAATAAATTTGAATTCTAATAGCTTCTCATCATCATCATCTTTCACTAAATTCTAAAATAAATAATAATAATAATTTTATATATATATATATATAAATGAAAAATTACAAAATTATATTTTAAAAAATGAAGAAATGAAAAAAAACAAACCTTGACATATTCAACAAAAGGTTCAGCAGTATTATACTGTAATAGTAATAATTTTTGTTCTGTTGGAGATTGTAAGAAATCTGAAATAGTTACTTTCTTTTCAATTTTGTCCTCTAACAAATTTGTCATAGCACTATTATTATCATTTGCATGATCTTCATTAACATCATCATCATCATCATCTGCAACTACATCCTCGTCCACATCCTCATCTATATCCACAACAACAAATTCATTATCATCTACATCCACAAGTTCATGATCATGTTCATCTTCGTACTCTTCCTCATCTTCTTCTTCTTCTTCTATTTCTTCATCTTCATCTTCATTTTCATTTTCATTTTCATTTTCATTTTCATCTTCATCTTCATCATCACTTTCATCTTCACTTAATGTACCTAACGAATCGATACGTTCGAAATTTGTTAAATATTCACGTAAGACAGCACGACCATCTGTTCCAAATGAATTGCCATCTAAGAGTAAATTGTTCAAATAATTTTTATCAGCCATTGCTCGAGCAATGGGGACAGCTCCTCTTGTATGGATTTCGTTAAAACTTAAATTCAATTCCATAAGGGAAGGATGATTTCCTTCAATTCCTAATGCTTCTGCTAATATCAAACTACCTTTTGTTTTTAGCAAACAATCTCCAAGATTTAGATGTTCAAGAGCAGGAAAGTTTGGTAAAATGTCAGCAAGTGCTTGAGCTCCTTGTGGTCCTACCGTATTATCATTAAGATTTAAAACACGTAATCCTGGATTGGCAGATAAACCTTTGGTAAGTGCTATAATTCCTTTATGTGATATACCATTTTGAGGCATTGCAACTTCCTCTAATGTAGTTAATTTTTTAAATACAGATGCCAAAGCTTCGGCACCTTCATTTTCCAATCGATTTCTACCAACTTCAATAACTTTCAGTGCTAATTGCGTACCTGTAATAAAATATTAAGTTATATTAAAATGATATCAAAACTGGTATGTAAGTATTTATATAAATTAAAACACTTACCATCGCGTGAACTATATTGACAACAATCCAATAAAGCTTTGGCTAATATTTTACCTCCAAATATACCGAGTCCATTATTATTTAAATGTAATTCACGAAGGGAATAACATGTCTTAGAAGTTAAAAAATCTGCTAATCCTTTAATACCAATTGGACCAAAAGCATTGTCGCTTAATTCTAATTCGGTGAGCTGGGCACCAGCAGTTGACAAAGAAGTGCCAAGGTGTTCTAATGCTACAGGAATTTCTGCTTTAGATCGACTAGTAAACATGTCTTTCCAAAGAGCTCTTTTTAGAAGGGATCCATTTTTCTGTAAAGCTTGAGCTACAGCTTCTGCTGCGTTTGGTCCTAATGTGTTTCCTTCTAAATTGAAGAATTCTAATTGTGGACATTCTTCTATTGCTTTTATTACTTCTATTGCTAAAGAATCAAAAAATATAATATTAAAATATTAATATGATTTTAATAGAAAAAATAATAAGTACTTAATAACTTAACCTCTAAATTTTGTATAATATCTTAACCTTTAAATGTCTATAATATCTTAACGCGTTTAAATATTATTCTTCATGAAATACAAATATATACTATACCATCTTCTTCAGTATCAAGTTTGAGATTTCTTCCTGCAAAAGAAACGCCGGATTTTTCAGCGTTATCCTTTAAAGCATCTTTTAATTCATTTAAGTTAAAAGCAGACATAATTTCTTGAATGTTCCAAATAATCCAGAAACCTTTCACAAAATCTTATTCAATCTTTCTAACTATTTTATTTCAGTTATATTTTTGCTATCAAATGAAAAATATATGGAATTGTTATAAAAAAAGTGCTAAACAAATCGTTTCGTTTTTAGACGCTTGTTATTATATTACCAATTCGTATACGTATAGTTATACACGAAGCAATAAACCATATGGGACGCGGTAATGTACAACAATAAATATTGTTCAAGCTATAGAAATATTATTGAAATAACAATTATATATTATTAAAGAAAATAAACATTGTTTATATATATTTTTTTTTTTTAATATATATCTTATATAAAAATTAAAAAAACATTTGTAATTGTATTGTTCATAATTAGAAAATTTCAAATAGAATGTATACAATCAGGGTGACCAATTAATAAAAAGATTGTTATCGATACTGGTCAAGCATTGGTTAGTTTACTCAAACTAAAAGTAACTATCAATGTTCCTAGAGACTTTAGCCCGTCTGATCGACACAGTGCCGTAAAATTGGTGGGTTTACCAAAAAATTATCGTATGCATAAATAACATTTATTGATTCTTAATTGGTTGAAATTAAGGCGCGCGCACAGCACATTATTCAAATTTCTAATGAAAAAAAAATGTGATGACGTCGGTAAGGAAAATTTTCATGAAAGTATTATTCTCAGTAAAGAACAATAGTATTCTGGTGAGGCGCTGCCTCATGTTTCAAACCAATGGAGGATAAAAATATTTCAATACGAAATATTATCAATTAAACTTACTTCAAATTATCATATAATTATCGTACTCGTCTCATATTATCGTAGATTATTGTCACATAATCAAAATTGGATGTACGATTGTACAATGATTTAAATTATGTGACGTTTACGATAATTATTTGATGGATGGGAACACTGGTAACTATGTAATGAACATTGTTATGTTGCAGCACTGAAATTGTGAAAATGGTCAAGAAGAAAGTCTGACCAACGTGATTCTATATAATGCGTGTTCTACGGTATACGCCCGCAATAGTTGTTCAGATTTGATAGTGGTAAGTTGAATAGTCCGGTGGTCTGCACTTATCCGTACTGGTTTCGTGCTGTTCAACATTTCCGTACTTGTATATCGTGTTTCTCTTGTATCGTATTTAGCGGCTACCAACGATTACGACTTAACATCTACGACGACTACTATCAACGGTGACTAGGGATGATGATGACGACTACGACTACGATGAAGAGGTGGATGAAGATACAATAGTAGCAGCCGACAAAGTAGGAAGAATTGTTTATAAAAAAAAAAAAAAAAAAAAAAAAAAGGGAGATTATATTATAAGTGTTAAGACGAAATAACGTGGGAGATAGATGATGATGCATCGAGGTATATCCGTTTAATTTGAAGTTGATGGAACTTATGTGCGTATATATAGTTTTGCGTCTTGAACAATGCGAAACTGGTGGTTGTTTTGAGTTGAACATTTTTCCCCAAATAGATAATGGTCGTCGTCGTCGTCGTCATCGTAGTGTGTCCGTGTACATCGTTAACAATCGGCTGAATAGCCGTGCACAGGGGATAAGTGTTTAATTAAAATTATCCATTGGGTATAGTTAGGGAAATAAAAGGGACACAATGTACAAATGCGCTTAGCTGTTGTTCGTGCTCGTGACGACGGAATGCAATGAGCTATGTGGAAATGCGATTACCCGCTCTTTTACGTAGAGGACTACTACGGGTGTTGTGCTTCAACGAATTGTATCCAAGTATTTTAACAAGGATCGACCTTGTCCCGTTGTTCAATTCAATTTTATTATTTCATTCTCGGCGTGTTTCTCGAATCTACCGATAAAAGTCGATCAACGACTTTTATGCCTAAGAGGAGGAGCATCGTCCTCCTCTCCTTGTTATTCTGCAACCTTCAACGCCTTGACGTGATTTACCCGGTTTACCCGCCACACGACGGGTTATGTTTCCCACTTTTATAGGGATCCTAGGTGAGTCCTAGATAACTATATAATTGATCTTCATTATCACCAGAATACTCTTTATATATATATATGTATATATAACTATATAACTATATATCTATATCTATAATATTCTTTAACGGATAAGTTGTCATTTTGATTAACTTTCTTATACCTTCATTAATTTATATTATTATTAATTTAGGTGATACCATTTTATTAACAATTAATCAATTTTATTACATTTCAGTTTGTAATATCATAACGTATAATTTTGATTAATTCAATTATCAACTTTTAATACCTTTTTTAGTATAATATGTTAGGCTATTTTTCTAAATTGTGCAGAATGTGTGATCTCAAAAAAAAAGAAAAAGAAAAAAATAGTAGACAATTTGTAGTATTTTGATTTGTTTAAAGAATATAAAATGATTTCTCATGTGTTTGAATTAATTTATTGAAAATTAACATTAATAAAAAAAAGCATTAATAGTATATCTATATATATATGACACATATGAAATTATACAACTTTATACAATATTATGATACAGTGAAAAAAAACAATTTAATAGCTCTCCATTCTACATCTGTTATTAAAAGTTTATTTATGCGTTATTAGAACAAAAACTATTGTTATTATGATAATGTTGGTTAGGATTTATATTTGAAAATAATTCATTCGTTAGAATTGATATAATATTACTTGTAAGAAATGTGATAAAATATTTAAATGTAATAATTGAAAATAAGTATAATATTAATATTTTATTGTGTTTTTTTTTTGTGTGTGTAGACATACAATCGTGGTGGGAGGTGCCAAGTATAGCACACTTCTGTTCATTATTTAGAGCTGCCTTTAATCTTCTAGACTTTGATATTGAGGTATTTAATTATATACTCATTTCTAATTGTAAACATTAAGTAAACATAGCTTATATTATTTAAACAATTGTTTTTATGCTAAATATACCTTGGTATTGCTGTTTTGCAAAGTGTGTACAAAAGTACATTCATTTGCAAAACATTTGCAAAGTGTGTACTTTTTTTATATGTTTATTTTAATATATATATATATATTATGTTTTCTTAGGATTTGGAAGAAGCTTTGTTAACGGATGGAGGTACAGAAGGTCGTTTAGTACAAGAATTAATAGTAAAATTATTAGAAGGTTGTTTACCTAACGATACTCGCAATGACATCTCTACTTTTAATTATCAAATGTTTCTTCGTAGATTGTTCCGAAAAAAATGTCAGGTAAATATAATATCTTTTAATGTTTACATTAATATCAACATTGATTATTTGACAATGTTGTTTATATTGAAATGTATATTTTTTTCTTATAGGAATATAAATGTGAAAATCCATTTAATACAGATGTAGACTTTGAATTATTGCCACTTCGTCAAAAGGTAGAAATATTACGTGCTCTTTGTGACTTCAGATTAGACGCTGAAGACGTAGTAAGTATTCATCTATAATAATTATCTTTAATATAATAAATGTTATGTTAAATGTATATATATATATATATAATATTTAAATAGGAGCAATCTTTAAGTAATCTGGACTCAGATAGTCTGCGAGTTGAACCATTGGGTCATGATCGTAAGAACTCTGCATATTGGTACTTCTACGGCACTCGATTGTACAGGGAGGATTATATCGATACTACTGTTAGTACCTCATTTAAACAGAGCAACAAATCAAGAGAGAAAAAACGTAAAAAACGACGGAACAGAGTGGCGAAAAAGGAAGAGGAAGAGGAGGAGAAGGAGGAAGATAATAATCTAATATATAAAACAAATAACGAAAGGGAAAGTGTATGGCAGGTTGTTTGTTTTACTCAACAAGATTGGAGTCGTTTGGTTGAAAAATTTCGTGATTCAGTAAGTTTGATATATTTTCCACCGATAATGATGATGATGATGATAAACGAGTAATATTCAATCATCCAAAAATATGAATTATTTATTATATTGTATTTGTATTTTTTTTTTTTTAGGAATACGATACAGAGCGTAAGCTTTATCGTACCTTATCAGAAGATTTTATGCCTGAAATACCAAAACTTTTTGATTTGAAAGAGAAACAACAAAGGCGTAAACTTCTACAACATAATAATTCAAGGGTACTTCGTAGTCACGAGCCTGCGACTCAAATGGAAACAGTCATGGTCAGATCAAAGATTAAAACGAAGAATAGTAAAGGAGCTAAGAGAAGTTCACAGAGTGCTAAGAATGTTTATGTTAAAGATAAAAGTTCACCACCTTTAAGTGTACCACCTATACAAAAGAAAGGTAGACAAACTAATAATTCATTAGCATCTGCAGTTGGTCAAATTGTGATACACACTAGAGATGAAGTTGAAAATTTGGAAAAGAAGAAAGGCATTAGTAGTCATGGTGATAATTATGTTTCTTCTAATTATGGATATAAATATGGATATTCATTTGGAATCGAAGAGGAGGAACGTCGTGTAGGTATGCATAAAGTACTTGAAAGCTTAAAAGATCATGTGGACGCATGGCCATTCATTGATCCTGTGGATGAAGAGTATGCTCCTAGGTAAGCACGAATATACCAATTATATATATATATATATATATTTATATCATTTAGAATAATTAAATATTTATGTATGTAAAAAGAGATGAAATTGTATCATGCATAACATCACAGAATAACCAACGACGTGTTGTTATGCACGTGGATGGTGGATTCTTTGTCAGTGCAAGTGTTTCAAATGAATTTTTATTATTCACAGATATTATAGCGTGGTACGAAGACCAATGGATCTTAGCACAATGGAAGAAAAATTGGAAGGTGGATCTTATAAAAGTTTAAGTCTATTCAAACGTGATTTTCGCCTTATAGTAGACAATTGCAGACAATATAATGGTTCTGATAATGGTTAGTAGTATTTAAATCTTAAGAATAGAAATTATTTCAATAATTAATCAAATATATTAATTTATATTTATATGTTGAATTTTAGAATATACTGAAATGGCAATTAATTTAAAAGAAGCATTTGATAAGGCAGTTAATCGTTATTTGGAATCTGAAGCATCGAGTGATGAAGATCTTTCATCGACAAGATCGGCATCTATGTCTCCTTCGTCTGTTTCTTATCCTGTGACTACTACTTCACCTTCTACGATGCAGCATAATGTAAAAAAGGGCATAAAAAAGTCTACGACGAAAAAATCGAAATCTGTTAAAAGCGAAACAACTCGAGCAAAATCAAAAATTATCGTGGAAGATGAAGAAGAGAAACCAAGTAAAAATTTAAAATTTACCAAAAAAAAAAGAGGTAAAAGAAAAGCTAAGAAAATAAAGACAGAAGATATAGTAGAAGAAGAGGGGGAGGAGGAGGAGGAGGAGGAGGAGGAGGAAGAGGAGGAAGGTGAGGAAGAAGAGGAAGAGGAAGAAGATACAGTGATAAAAAAGGAAGAACGAAATACACAGGAGGAAGAAGAAATTGACAAACCATTATTAAATACTAATGTCGTCAAATCAAAAGGTAAAAAACAACATATTAATACAAACAATGTTTTATTAAAAACGAAAAAGCTGCCGCCTCCTAAAGAACCAGAAGAACTGAAACGTGCTGCTAATAAAAAGAATAAACATCAGCAAAAAAAAGATGTAGAGATCATTCGTTCTGGTAAGGAAGGGAAAAAACGAAAAGAAGATTTTGAAGAAAGTTATGAACCATCTATTATTGCAAAAAGTAGAAGTAGAAAGATAGAAAAGAAAGAACTTGAGAATACATTAATAGCAGAAAATGCAAAGAAGTGTAAATTAAAACGAGTAGAATCTCAAGATAATAATACTACAGATAAATCTCTGCACGTAAAGGTAAAGAAAAATCGTAATAAAAAGGATAAAGAGGAAACAAAAATAAATGTCAAATCGGACGAGGAATTCGATGGTAAGACTATAACGAAAGAAAAAGAAAAAGAAAAGGAAAAGGACAAAAAATCAAAACAGAAGACTGAAGAAAATGTAAACAATGGCGAATTAACAGATCTTGTAGATTCCAAAGAAGTAGAAATAGAAACAAATATACAAAAGTCAAAACAATTTGATACTTGTAAGAAACTTGCTGCGTTAGTAAATAATAAAGATTTGGAGTCACTTGATAGTTTGAAAGATAAGGTAAGTGAAAGACGTCGTGAGGAAAAATTAAAACATGAAAAGGAAAAGCAGAAAAAGAAAGATATTCAGAGTGCATACTCTAAAAAAGTGCCTTCAAATGGTAGTACATTACATGATGGAGATAAAGTCAATTTAAAACGATTGAAGTCTAAAAAGGGCGTAAAAGATGAAAAGTTGGTTGCTATAGGAGACTCAAATAAGAGTCACAACCATGAAGTAAGTGATGGTAAGAAAACAAAAAATTCACAAGTTAGACATACCAAAGCATTTGGTAAAGAAGAAAGTTCAGCAATACAAGCCTTAAATCAAGCAACAGAGCAAACGCTTAATGTAAGTTATAAATGTTTCTTTTATTTATTATTAAATTAAATTATTTATAATAAAATATTATATTTTATCAATGTAATATATAATTGTTTTTTTTTTGTTTTTGTTTTTTTAATAATAGGATATAAACAAATGGCTTGATGATGCACCTAGACTTTCGGAATTTTCTTCTGGAAGTGATTCACCAGTATTTCATTCCTCCATTGAATCGAACAAATCAGGACCAAAGTTAGAAGCTCCAAGAAAACGACCAAGTTCAATTAAAATTTTTGGACCTCATGGCCCAACTAGACCAAAAAAAATACAACGTACTATAGATCGTTTACAACCTGGTAAAAGCAAGGGAAATTTATTATTAAAGAAACCATTAAATTTATCTTCTTCCAATGTTAGTGATATACCTACTCATCAATCTACTAGTGATAATGTTAAACCTAGTACAGATGTTAAAGAGGAACCAAAACTTAGTTTAGGAACTGTATTGAAGAACGCTGATTCAATACAATTAATCTGTAAAGGTTTAGTCTCATCACCAAATCCTAATTTTTCAAATGACGATGAAGAGGATGATCATACTGCAGTATCGGTAAATTCAACATCGAATACTGTTGAAGAAAAATTACCTGCTAACAAAGGGACAATATTACCATTGACAACAGTGGAAGAAACCAAGGATAATAATGTTTGTACAGAAGAAGTTCAAAAGCAAAAATCTACAACGCCAAATTTAAGTGCTTGGTTCAAAGCTTTTGGGGCACCAAAATCAAAAAAGAAAGACGAAGAGGTAGAAGAAGGCGTGCCAAAGAAAGATGGAGAAGTACAAGAAACGATCTGCAATAGACCTAGACGCATGAGCACAGGTGGTAGCAGTTTAAGTGAATCACTTTCTAGTTTTTCACAAGAATCTCCACCGGGCCGCTATTCTGGTCGATCACCGCAAAATCAACCTGTAGTGACTACAACTGAGACACAAATACGAGGTGCTGGATTTTATCAGGATGCTTTGTCGACTGGTAGTAGTCCTTATAATAGTCCCTATTATGCTACACCGCCGAGATATAGTGCCCAATTACCTCCTACTCCATCACCCCAAAATCATCCATTGTCTCCAGCATATCCATCTCCTGCGTCATATGAACAAACTCCAATATATCCTCAGATACCATCCCAAACTCCTCAAGTATATCCAAAAACATCATCCCAAGAAAATTCTAACGAAGCTTATCGACAGCTGTCTCCTACATTCTCTGCTCAAAATAATTTTCCACAAGGTTCATCACAAAGTGAACCTTACCCACAACAAATATCGTCTACTAACCAAACTCAATCCGCCGGGTATTCTCAACACTCTCCACAACCATTACATCCAGTTTTTTCACAGCCTTCACCTCAAGCACCATCTAATTATTCCCAACCATCGCCTCAACAGTCAACTACGCCAAAATATTCTCAACCTTCTCCTCAACCAAGTTCATCTATCAATTATTCTCAAAACTCTCCACAAGCAACGTCTAACTTTTCACATCCTTCGCCACAGCAACAACATTCTCCGTATTCTCAACCTTCTCCTCAGGCACCTTCGAATTATTCACGACCATCTTCGCCTCAACAACATTCTCCATTTCCACAATCTTCTCCACAACAATCGACTGTATATTCTCGAGCTTCTCCTCAACCACCACCAGTATATTCACAGCAGCCTACACAATCTCCACATTTTTCACAGCCTTCGCCTCAAACACATTCAAATAATTTCTCTCAACCATCACCTCAACCACTCCCAGCATATTCACAAACATCTCCAAAGCCACAAAACTTTTCACAAACATCTCCACAACAAATACAAACATTCTCGCAACACTCTCCACAAACGCCACCTGCGTACTCTCAATCTTCTCCACAAGCACAAGTCTCCTATTCTCAACCTTCGCCACAAAACAATTCCTATTCTCAACCATCTCCTCAACAACCACCACCTAATTATTCTCAACCTTCTCCTCAGCAACCACCACCAAATTATTCTCAACCTTCTCCTCAACAACCACCACCTACTTATTCTCAACCATCTCCTCAGCAACCACCACCTAATTATTCTCAACCATCTCCTCAACAACCACCGCCTACTTATTCTCAACCATCTCCTCAACAACCACCGCCTAATTATTCTCAACCATCTCCTCAACAACCACCGCCTAATTATTCTCAACCATCCCCTCAAAAACCGCCTAATTATTCTCAGCCATCTCCTCAACAACCACCACCTACATATTCTCATCCATTACATTCACCCCAAACACCACCTAACTATTCACAATTGTCTCCACAGCAACAAGCAGCAGGAGTAAGTTATCCTCAACCATCTCCTCAACCATCGCATGTTTATTCTCAACCTTCTCCTCAACAGAAATCTGTATGTACCTCTCAACAACAATCTGCTACATACTTACAATCACCTCCACAACAAGCTACGAATTATGCGCAATCTCAACCAAAAGCTCCTGAGGATTATACGTCAAACACGATAGCAGCATCTTCAAGTTATTCACAAAACTTTAAGCAAACTCATTCATATTTACAATCTCCTACATTGTCAGTGAATGAATCGGAAAGGAGACAAGAATTTTTGAAGTCTAATAATAGTGATAAAACTTCGCCTGAGGAACAACGCAATTTTATCGTTCAGCCAGAATCGTCAATGAATTTGAATACCAATCATCAAATTTATCAACCTACAAATCAATTTCCTTCAGCATATCCAAATAATTTTTCTAACAGTGATATGCAAAGATCGAGTAGTAGACATGGTAATCAAGAACCACCACCATCACAACAACAACAACAGCAGCAACAACAACAGCAACAACAGCAGCAACAACAACAACAACAACAACAACAATCGCAACAGCAATCACAGCAAACATTGCAAGAACGACCAAATTTTACTGATCTTAGTGATTCTGTAAATGTTCAAAAATATACTCAACAAAGAACGTTCCTTAACAAAAATGCAAGTACCGGAGATCAAATTCAAGCACAAGATCAATCACAGCTTTTAGCATTTCAACAAAATTTAACTGCACATGAGTCACTTTATCAAAGTGGATTTCAACTTTCGGGATATCCTGTAACTAATTCTAGACCAGTATATCACAGTCCACATTATTTTGATGCTGGCTCGAAAGCTGCCAGTGGTGGAACTTCAAGCACAACAAGTGGCAATCTTCCTCCTGTAAAAAAGCGTGTATATAATGAATCGTCAAATGAATCATCGCGCGCTATGCCACAAGAATCTACTATACGACCTGGGCAAGAACAATTTATTTATGATTCAATGATAGCACTTTCACAACCAGAAGCAGTTTCAGCTAGTCAATTTGAGAGTGTATTTGTTGGAACTTTAGCAGATTCAGTTGCCACCAGTCCTGCATATGCACGATTGGGTTTAGGTTTAGTAAGTCGTACTAATAAAGAACAACAATTATTAACAATTCCTAGACCACCACCAGCAAAACCAGAACATTTGACTTATGCACGTAGTCCTGTATCGGGGACCGCTGAATTGGATTTGAATCTCTTACAAAGTATACAAAATGCAGCAGCCAAAAATTCATCAGGAATATTGTCAATGCCAAGAAGAGTGGGAGAAACAACAGCAGCACCTCCTGCACCGGTTACGACTAGGGCGAAGAAAAGTAAAAAGAGTAAACAGCAACAACAAGAACAACAAAATGTCACTGCCTTATCGTCTACAGTTAGTACAGATCAACAAGCGAGCGGCAGTATACCGAATTTTTCTCAATATTCAGGCACTCCTGGAGACATTGGCTTAAAAAATACTTCGGTAATACCGCCAAGTGGGAGTGCCTTCAATTTTGCTGCACCAACCAGTACCGCCACAAGCAGTTCACCCTTTTACGATAAGGATGCATCTGCTGCAGCAGCAGCATTTGCGTTTTTAGATGAATTTCGTAACACGAATTCTTATTACAGTATGGCGCTTAGACAACAACAGCAACAACAACAGCAGCAACAGCAAGTTGTACCAGTAACAGATACTGTGCAATCATCTTGTAACAAACTTAGTAATCAAACTCCAAGAAATTATGCACCTCATCCATTTCTTCATTCTGCACAAAGATCAGCTGCTTATGGGCCCCACGTATCTGCTTACGTTCCACCTCATGGTCCAAATCTAACAGTGGATCCTGCCTATCAACAATATCTTCATTCCTTTTATGCTCTACAACCACCACATCATCATAGACCGTCCTGGCTTTAGCCATTACAATTGATATAAAGTATATTTTACACATTACATAATATTTCGGTGGACATATTGTTTTACATATATATATATATATATATATATTTTAATTTAAAGACAATGTTCTTCTTTAAAATCGAAGTTCATTAATGTTTCAAATATGAAAGTAATATAAAATTATAATAGTAATGAGTATAAACGAATGACAAATATAATAGTGTAATTATAATTACAATTATTTTAGGCTTTTATTATTTTTGATTTAATTCCAAGAAAAAATGACTATTATTGTTATTTATACTATTATTAACATAGCAATATTTCCACCGAAACTTTGTCTTCTTTCATGTTACATTTTCTCGTTTTTTTTTTTTTGTATTTTTTTTTTTATTATTAATACTTATTCGTTTAGCATTTTTACAAATTGTCAATATAAACTTTTGTTTTCTATTCACTAACGTATTATGTATGCATGTATATAAAAATAAGCCCACTTTATAATATTAGGGAATTTTTGATAGTTTTTTAAAAAATCATTACAAAAGAAATGAAGTGTAGCTAAAATTCAAGTTATAACTTTTTATCGAAAAGTTCCTCGAAGTTAATGAGCATTCTCCGTTTTCTTTTTTTTTTTTTTGGTTTTTTCTTTGATATGTCGGGACATATTTTATGCAATATTTAAATATATGTAGAATAAGAGGAACTGTTGTCGACTTTACCATTCATTGTTAATTAGTTTCCTTTCCTATTTTCTGTTTTATTGATGAAGTCTAATCGTTAGATTTGTCAATGTATCGAAATTATGATTTAAAAAAAAACAAACAAGTTATGTATAGTACCGAGTGCACTATCGCAAAGTGTATGTTATATAGTATATATATAAATATACATATATATATATAAGTTTACTTATAAGTTAGAACACGTTTCATTGTACATAAAATACATATCTATTATAGATAATGTGCTCGGTGTGTGTAAGTTTTCAAAATCCAAAATATTAAAATGAAATGACGAAGGATAATGATAGTATAATATACGTTGGAATATGATCATTACAAGCGAATATATAAATTATAAAATACGAGTAAAACATTATCTATATATTATGTGTATAGCTACGCACCAGAGAGAAGGTATGTATCATATTGCTGTCGTATATATATATATACATATATATATGTATATATACGAGATATATATATATATATATTAACTATCAATCCTGTATTTGAGAATCGTGTACCGTCGTAGAGCGGTTTATCAAAACTTATAAATATATACAAATATATTGTAAATGTATATTGTAAATGTATTGACAACAGATTAAAGCACAGTTTGTTACAAAATTATTTTTACTTTATTATACTATTAGCCAATAATTGTTTTATTGGTATATATTATTATAATAATATTATAATATATTCCCTGTTGTTAGGGAATCTTTGGAAAAAGAAAATTTGAAAAATATGAATCGATAAAGCAGATAAAAATAAAGTAATAATAATAATAATATATTTTAGAAGAGTGATGGTATTGGTACGTTAAAAAAGAATTAGTAGAGTAAATACGATATTCTTTCGTAATTCTATAAATAGTAGTTTTAAACGAAAGTAGGAAAGGATGATGGTATCGTTTTCTAGAAAAGGCGCGTTCGATTTCGATTTAAAGTTCGAAGCGCCGCCACATTTGATAGGTGAGAGTGGGGGAAATGATCGACGAATGGCGGGCTACGAATGCCAAATGATTGGGATGCGCGCGCATGATGCCATTTCGACAGTCGACGTTTACCCGCGAATTAGGAGGATGCGACAGTCGTACGTTTAATACGCGTCAAGAGTGCGCCGGTCGTGTATCCAATACTTCTACGCGTCTATCATTTTGACGCATTATAAAACGTTAAACTGGCGCGTTTTCGATTACCTTTCAGCGTAATAAGGAGCATTGGTTTTACTATTAGAAGGATGACCACGGAAATTGATAAAGATGAGCTGAAAAAACGTTTGACGCCGTTACAGTGGCACGTGACACAAGAAAAAGGAACCGAGAGGTAGACACAATGATATATATATTTTTTTTTCTTTCTACATCTTATATCTTTTTGGTTAACTTATGCTGTTCCTTTTTCCAATTTACACACAACAAATTTTCTATTTTTATTATATATTTATCATAGATATATTTGACGTGATTTATACTTTATCATCTTAAAATAATATGTTAGTTTCTTTGAAACGTCGTTATCACTGCTTTATATCATCCTCTTTTCTCTTAGTTTCACAATGTCGCAATATTGATGTCAAAATTGTCATTTATTATATCAGCTAATTATGTCAGATGATATTTTACAATCTTTCACTGTATTTTTATTTATAAATTGCAAATGTTTATCATTTATGTATGATACTTGTCACATATAATTTTAAGATTAATAAGTACTTATTTTTTTCAATACTAAATATGAAATCACGTTGAAGGCCAATTTAGTTATAGACACAGATAAAAATAACTTTTTCAAGAGCGATCGCTGTCTTTTTACGTCATGGCCAAGTAGTTTAAAAATAACATTTCGTATGTTGTAATTAACCTCTTTTTAATTTAATGTAATACTGAATGATAAATGTGTATTATAATTATATTTTATTTTACTCAGGCCATACACTGGTTGCTACAATAAATTTTATCAAAATGGTACATACACGTGTATCGTCTGTGATCAAGAATTATTCTCTTCTGACACTAAATATGACAGTGGATGTGGTTGGCCTGCATTTAATGAAGTTTTAGATCAAGGACGAATTAAGTTAACCAAAGATACCTCTCATGGTAAGCAAACTCTTGTTTCATTAATTATTTACATTTAATGCTCATAAACTATTATGCTCATATATATACATATATTTGACATAATGATGTAGTATTTCCTTATTCATTTTATTCTTACATCATACGAGGATATCTAACGATATGCAGGTAAACTGATGATTATCTAATGGAAAATACAAATGATTTATCAATGGGAAATTAAAAGCTTTAGTCTCTATCTATGATATTAGATTTTAGCATTACCTGCTTATTATGGTGTCTTCGCTCTCTTCACACATTACAATCTTAATCCATCATTAAAAACCTTCCTATAACCATTTCTTTTATATTTCATTGCCTTCTTAGTAGTTCTATTCTAATCTCTATCTATTTATCATTATATATATATATATATAGTATAATCTCACTAATCCGGCACTTCAATAGACCTACACGTCCAATAATCCGGCACCCCCGCCAGCGCCACCCTCGCCCCTCTACGCCTATACGCACCGTCTATAATCCAGTAATCCGAACATTCCAATAATCCGGCACTCTATGGTTTTTAATAGTGCCGGATTAGTGAGATTGTACTATATATATATATATATATCAGTAGAGGGATGTAATATTTTGTTGAAAATATCTTTCTACTGGTTTAGAATAATTCATTTAATATTTCTGCATGTATATTACTGAAATAATATTGAAATTGATTAATTACACGATATAATATAATATATGTTTTTTTTTTATAGTATATTATATGATCTGGCTTTTATTTGTACATGGGTAAAATGTTGTAGATATTACATTGGTTTTTTTTTTATATTTTTTTTTAAATCTATAAAATTCTAAGGAAGGCAGAATTCCTAATACCTTATATTCTTCCTGCATGTCCATGCTTAGAGTGTGATTGTGTTAGACTTACATCAAATTCTTTTAATTATTATTATTACTGAAATGTTAGACATCAATTGCAAACAATAAATCTTTTTTTCGTCTAATTAATATATTACAACAACAAAAAAAACATAGTAGTTCTAGCATCTCTTATAATAATATATTTGCAAATAAAATAGCACATAACTTTGTAATATTGTGGCTTCTTATAATATAATTTTTACTCTGTGGCCTTTAGTAATATCAAAATTAAATAATTATATATATATATATATTTTGTTTATTTCTAATACAGCCATCGCAGTAATATATGTGGTGTAGATGAATAATAATGATCTTTTATGTGCCAATATATAGTAGAAAAATTATATCAAATGAAGAAGAAACATTACATATTACTACATTGTAAAATAGAATAGAGTCATCTTTTAACAAATTTAATTGTTATTTGTATAACTTTTTGATTAATATAAAAAGATGATCAGGTATATCAATAAAAATTATATGTATAATAATAATAATAATAACAACTTTAACTACTGATTTCTTCAAATTGAATAAATTACAATCAGTAAAAATTGGAACTACGATTACTATAGAATAAATTTGAAGAATAGTTGTTATATGCAAGGTAATATTGTGTAGGAAAAATGTCTACTTAAGTAAGAAATATTAATTAGTGTAACTTATAAGTCCTACTACTTCTTCGCCACTACTATTGCTGGGAGGCATTTGAAAGTTTACTCAAAAGGGTGTGGGTCTGCGTTTAATCACACTCTATTATTGTCTTTCCTTTGTCTTCCTACTGCTCCGCTACCAACCACTTCACTCTCACCATTGAAACACGAAAATCCCGTCACTACACGACGTGTAGTTGGTGGCAATCTACTACTGCTGATCGCAAACCCAGATATGGTGCGGACTGAAGTGACCTGTTCAAAATGCGGTTCACACCTGGGACATGTATTCAACGATGGTCCAAAACCTACGAGGAAGCGTTTCTGCATCAACTCTGCTTCGATACTCTTTCATCCAGCAGGGGAAGAAAAGAAATAAATGTTCTCTTTAAATGAAGAAACAAGAGAGACATTTTTTTTACAATTAATTCTTCTGTTAGCTTCAAAACATTTAAACGCAGTTTGATATTATTTTTTCTTTTTTTTTTCATTAAGAATCTCTCCTTTAACATCAATCAATTGCGCTTTCTTGTTTTATAAACAAACAAGATTATCTTCAATTGTAACAACGTATATATATATATATATATAATGCGTTATTAATAATTGCAAATTAGCATATTCATATTATTAATAAGTATGGTCAATTAAAGTTTCACAAAGCATATTTGATATGACATACAATTATTAAGCTTTCAGCGCTTCCATGCTGATGATGGTATTGTATCGAGTTAAAAGTCAAAAAAAGCTTGACTTATATAATATAAGATATAATATCCCTATACATATTATACAACTGCACCTTGATGTAATCATTTCTAACTCAACTAACATGATATTATATGTCTTTTTTATAATCAGATCTGAATTGTGCAACATATTATGTATATATATATATAATTATCATACAATTAATACAAAAAAAAAAGAAAAGAAAAGTGATAAAAATATGATTTTCTAAGAGTCCATACTATTTTTACAAATGTGTATAAAAAAGCTGCAATATGTAAATAGTTAACTATATATATATATATATATATATATATATTCCTAACAATATTAAAAAAAAAAAACCATTCGAAGAATCAAATGGGGCTATTATTATTTGTAACCTTCGTTCTTTTATATATTTTACTAGGGGTGCACACAATCAGTCCGATACCTTTGTTAATAAACAAATAATTCGCAATAAAATAATATTGCGATTATAAATTGAGATATAAACTATCCTATCTTTCAAATTGGATGAAACTGCACACAGTGTGCACAATTTTATGAAAATCAGTTCAGTAGTTTAGGAGTCTATTGCGGACAAACAACGAATACTAAGATAAATGATTTTAAAAAGGAAGGACATTAACATTAAGGGATAATTGTAATAAAATATTATAATATTTGTTTGTTACAAAATGTTTCCTTATATTGTAACATTTCAAAACAAACTAAAAGGTGTTACAGTACAATATATATACGTAAAATTCTAGGCGTTATTTATTTTTTTTTTCTTCTTTTCTTTTTCCTTTTTCTTTTTTTTTTTTTTACAATAGTTATCTTTTATCTGCCATTTTCAATTCAATTTCATGGATTTCTTTATCGTTTATAATAGATATATATATATATATTTTCCTGAGAAATCATTCATTACTAAAAAACCCTTTTTTTTTTAAAGCAAATATATATATATATATATATTAGCTGTTGTTGTTTTCTTTTTCTTTTTTTTTTTTAAATCAAAAAAAGTTTTGTTGATAAAAGAGACTGTGGGGGAAAAACCATGTACTTCGACCAATTTCTTTCATTTTTTTTCTTCTTCTTCTTCTTCTTATTTGTTTCTTGTCAGTAAAATAGTATCTTTGTTACTAGGCCTGGTACTTCTTTCATTCAGAGAGATCTCAAAGCATTTTCAAAAACATCATAAAGCACGCAAGCATGCATTATTTATACCACACTTATTATAACCTGATTTTAATAGGAACCTATTTTATAATATACAATTACAAAAATGACAATAATACGTTTCTTACGTAAAAATACTTAAATGCACATGGAACGTTGTCAATCGAGATGCAATTTTATACACACAAAAAATAATACTTGTCTCATGCATTGTTTTTGGTTTTTGTTTTTTTTTTCTTTTTTTTTTATAATTCCTCCTCTACTATTATATTATCAAAGTCTATCATCAAGTTTAATTATTCATCTAATCAAATTTTTTTTGTTGCCGCATCAAAAAAATAATAATTATTTTATTTTCATAAGAATACATATTATAATAGTTTTTTTTTTTTTTTTTTTTTTTTTTTTTTTTTATGTAAACAGATTCTTCTTCATTACACAATAATGATCATTTGCGAACGATAATTAAAGTGCATCTAAAATGCACTTAATGTTAGTTANTTTTATAATTCCTCCTCTACTATTATATTATCAAAGTCTATCATCAAGTTTAATTATTCATCTAATCAAATTTTTTTTGTTGCCGCATCAAAAAATTTTTTGTTATATTATTACAGTAAGGCATGTTTTGGTACAAGCTTTGTACTTTTTTTTTTTGTTTTGTTTTTTTTATGTAAACAGATTCTTCTTCATTACACAATAATGATCATTTGCGAACGATAATTAAAGTGCATCTAAAATGCACTTAATGTTAGTTAGTTAGTTAATATTTTGAAATTTGGACATGGTGTCACCCCAAGTATATATTTTTTAATAATATATTCAATGCATCTCGATTTATCATTTAAAAATAAATCTTAAACAGTAAATAGCTATGAAACTGAGAGAAATATGTTTATCTTTTTATAATTGTCATAATAATATTAATATTAATAATAATAATAATAATACAATGATCAGACAAAATGGATGTATACATATATATATATATATATATGATCCTTTTTTAAAAGATATTTGTGAAAATGCAAGACCGATCTCGCTCTCGTTAATTTCTGATCGAGCTAAAAATTTATTTCAATCCTAATTTATAAATTCGTTTACATGATGATTATTAATACTAACATGTGCAGTCCATTTCCTTTCTTTCTTTCTTCCTTTTATTTTTTTTTTTTATGTTGCTTAAACATCACTTACTTTCAATTATAATTTAGAGCGCGCGATTACTGAAAAAAAAAAAAAAAACAAACAAACAAACAAAAACAATGAATGAAAACATGCGATGCTTAATTAATTTTTTTCATGAAATACTGACACACAAAAATAATACATTATTATTATTATATTTTATAAGTAGTCCCTGATTTTTTAAAAAATAGGATTTGATTTGTTTTTTTTTTTTTATTATTATTGTTGTTGTTGTTGTTGTTGTCCAATTTTTGTAGCATGACTCTAAATAATATATACGTTCATATTAACACGATTTATAAATCGAGAGTCATTTTGTCTGTCAACTTTTTTTCTAATTAAACTAATCAGGCTTTTTATCAACAGTTTTATATGCAAAAATAAAACTTGTTGAATATTTTCAATACCTTATGTTTTTTTTTTCTTTTTTTTGTTTTCACATTTTAAGGAAATAATATAAATTTGTTGGCTTTTATTTTTGTTCTTTTTAGTAATCTTTTCATTTCATATGTAGTAATATATCAGTGATTTCTCTTGTATATAATAATTATATTTTAACTCTCATGATGTTATTTTAAGTGTCAAAAAATTGCATATGACTCAACCCTCCTCTATATATATATATATATATATATATAATGAAATTATTAAAAATTATAGAAATTGCAAAATCTAAGTTTCTTAAACTAAATATTAAGACAATTTTAAATTGTATAATGACATCATGATACTTTGAAAATATAATACAATTAGGAAAGACATTTTTTTTTTTTTTTTTTTAGTTGCTCTGTTTATAATGTATGGTACAACCATTTGGAAACCTTTTGTATATATATGTATATATATATATATAACCGTTGACGTGATTATTCTACATGTTGGTTTCTGATGGTTCATTAAAATAATAAATGATACATTTTTAATGGTTCAAGATTATAAGGAATCTAGCATGAATAATAACCTTCTCATGCTTCTAAACATGACAACAGGCACTTTATAGTGTCACAAAAATGCTCCTACATTTGAACCTTGTTTTAAAATTTCATCGATCATCCATCCGTTCATTTTTATATTTAAGAAGACACGTTAAGAAGAATAATAATTACATTTGATCTGTAATAAAGAACACACACTTGGAACAGACAACGTTAGTCCATAATAAGGATGTTCTTATTAATTAACATACTTTAATAAGGAGAACCTTATATATCCTTAACGTGTCTCTTATAGCAATGCAAATGAGAAAAAGTACTTACTTTTGTTTATCTTAATATTATAAAACAGTAATGATAATTTGCAAAAAAAATAAAAAAAATGAATATTCTAACTGCACAAAGCACAAATAACTCAATTAGCCATACTATATATATATACATATACAAGTAAAAAGATATATATATATATATATATTTAAACTAAACACAATGCAATCATTGTGATATCAAAGATAAGAGAAAATAATTCAAGCATTTTTAATTGAATATAAACATATTTCAGCGTATTAACATTTGATTATAAGAACGTGACTTTTGAGAACGTTTAAAACAAGTTAGGCTATCGCTCATATATATATATATATATATATAAATATATATATGTATGTATATGTATTTATGTCATATTGACAGACAAAAAGATTGAAAACATATTGCTCTGCTTCTCATAACTTCGATTCGAAAAATATAAGTCTGACATGAAGATCAATTTATTTTGTTCTCCTACAATTTTCTTATTTTTTTTGTTTTGTTTGTCAAACCATAATTAATGTATTAGAATAAGTCTTATGTACTTGTTCACATTTGTTTATGGTATTATCTAATAAAGATCCCTTGCTATAAATAATGTGTGTTTTGTAGCTAACTCTGATCTTCAACTTTAGAGTCAATAATACTATTTTTACAATTTTTTATTTCTTTTTTCTTTTTTATTTTTTTTTTTTTTTTTTTAGAAAATAACTGACAAAACACTTATCTATCCTTGATGATGAATGTTGATAGAAATAGTTTTATTTTTCCAGGCAATATTTGACGTTAACTTTATGTTTAAGTTCATAATTCAACATTTGTTTAATTTGTTGACGTTTAAGAAATTTTGAGCAATCAATAAACATCACCGAGGAGATAAATAAGGTCCTTCTGTCGTCAGATCTCGTTCACAGTTTTTTTTCTTTCTTCTTCTTCTTCTGATTTAACTTTTTCTTCTCTCACAACATGCGAGACTCGAGCAATTTAAAAACTTTGAAACCATTTCTCGATACTCTTCAAGTATCGGATAAGTTCTATCTATTTATGACCTATATATATATATAATATATATTTATATATATATATATATATGTATATATTTATATATGTTTATTTATTACATATATATTATTGAATTATTGTGCCGTTTCCATTTTGGGAGGGTGGTTCATTCGTTATTCTTTCACATTAGTCATATATTTATGATCACTTTTGACCATAGTCTCTCTTTCACTACATCTTTTAATGACCTTTAGCAGCCTCTTTTGCTGCCATAATTAAAGGTGTTAAGGAAGCTAGTGGCCTTGCTAACTTCAAAAAAGGATGCTGCAAAGGAATATGTTACAATTGGTACGTGCAATTATAATAATATTATTAAATATAACAGGTAAACAAATCTTTTATCTCAAGTGTGAGTATGTGTGTGTGTGTTTACCTTTAATAATTCTGAAGCTGCAGATCGTTTTTCAACTTCAACTTCTAAACATTGGTCTAAGAAATCTTGAAAGATACCAGATAATTTATCCTTCTCTTTAATTTCTGGTTTTCCATTAGTTGCAATTAAATATAATGCTCTCAGTGGATTTTCATTCAAATATGGTGGTTCACCTTCTATCATTTCAATAGCCATTATTCCCAATGACCATATATCTACCTGTTATTGTTGTTGTTAATTGAATATTTTAATAATGAATATTATTCCATCGAGTATTATTATATTAATTTAATTATTACCTTTGGACCATATTGCTTTCTAGTAACTACTTCTGGTGCCATCCAATATGGTGTTCCAACCATTGTAGTTCTTTTACTTTGTTCCGGAGAAATTTGTGCACAAAATCCAAAGTCAGTTAATTTGACACCCCCATCCAATCCAAGTAGAATGTTGTCAGACTTAATATCCCTATGTATAACTTGATTACAATGAAGGAACTCCAATGCTTGTAATACTTCTCTGCATACTGCAGCTATTTGGCCCTCATCCATACAAGTTTCAGTCACGACGTCAGTTAAACTACCACCAGGTAAATATTCCATCACTACCCATAATTCTTCTCCCACTAAATAACTATCCAAATAATTAACGACATTCGGATGTTTATTCTCCCGCATTACTAAAATTTCATTTATTATCAATTCTTTTTTCGGCTGTTGCGAAAGATTCATTTGTTTTATTGCAACTTCCATTCCTGTTGATGTTTCAATTGCTGTATACACTGTACCTGAAGCACTAATATATCAAACAAACATTTGTTTTATTCCTAGTCATCAAAACATAATGAAATTTATACATTTATTATATTTATATTTATATTTATAAACTTACCCTTGTCCTATTTTTTCCATTTTTGTATACTTTCTATTTGGATCTCCTACACTTACAATTGTCCTAAGCTTTTCTAATATTTCATCATCCGACATTTTCTTTTTTCTTGCTTTATCACTTTGTGCTGGTCGGGTTTGATCAGTCGTAGTTGATGTTGGTGTTGCTTGATTCTTATTTCTATCTAACTGCGATTGATGTTGTTGTTGTGGTGTACCATTTCTTTGAGGTGATCCCAATGTAATTGCCAATGGTGGGGGTGGTTCTTCTTCTATAGGCTTTGTATACTAAACAATTCAATATGAAATGATATGAAATTCATTTGATAATTATATTCTCATATTTTCATCAGAAAACATTAGAGAAACTTACTATTGACTTTGTACGTTCTGGTCTAGCAGAAATAGGCGGAGGTGGTGGTTCATCTTCTTGTTCAGAACTAGTTGCACAAGCATCAGTTGGTGTACTACTGGGACTACTGCTACTTACTCTGTAACGTTATTGTTTCTCAGCTAATATTTAATGATTAGTTTTATTATAATATAAAAAATTGTAAAAGGCTCACCTGCTCAATGAATGTTGAGAGTGAGAACTTCCTGAAGCTTGAGACATTGCCTGTCCACGAATATTTCCTACACCTGTACCAACATTAACGCCCATACTTCGCGGACTACTTGCTCTTTCTATTGGAGCTGGATGTGCAGTTTGAATGATATCTGTATTATTAATAATATAACAAGTATACAATTTTGTTTCTTTATAAACAAAAGGAAACAAAAATAAATTCATTGATAAACTTACCTATAACTCCAACCATCTTAGTTGTAGTCATGTATTTAGAACCCTTTGTTTCTTTACTGCTACTATCATACCAGTTTAAAACATCTAAGACAGCTTGTGGATTTTTCTTTTGTTCTTGTTTACTAATGTTACTTGACATAAGAAGTCTTGCCCAAGCTTCTGGCATTCCCTGTGAATGATAATATTATATTATATTATAAAAAATGATAAAAGTTATATAGTCATATTATACAATAAAAGAGGGAAAGTGTCAAATATAACAGGTAGACAATGCTCGCTAGAATTAATCCTACTTACTAAGAAATAGGAATAAACCATAAGGAATAGATAAATTATTAATAATATATATGTATATATATATTTCAATGTAAAACACATGCAAATGTAAAAGAGAGGGGGGAGAGGGAGGGGAGAGGGGGTTTATGATTCCTTTATTAATATACCCAATAAATTTATATTACAAGTTTTAACGATCACCATGATTCATTCTGCAGGAAAGCAATAATGTTTAAAAATGCCACGTGTTGCCTAAAGCTATATTAAATCTACTGAAGCATTTATGATGCTTATGAAAAAAAAAAAAAAAGAAAAGAAAAACCTGACAAGTTTCTACAAGTTTGACTTGAACAAAAAAAAATAATGAATTTCTCTTTTCTTAACAGCAACGAAAACAAACTCTTAAACAAGATGTAGTAGTAGTAGTAGTAGTATGTACAAGGTATAAAATACAGGCAAAGTAAGTTCTGTGGTCATTTGAATTTTAATTTACTTACTTTTAATGGCAGCTTGAAAGAAATAGTGTTCTAGTTAGTTTTTCATGTGAGAAAAATAATATGTATAAGAAGCTGAGACAAAATTACCAAATTACCGTTCCACAATGTCCACATACGTATGTGAAAAAATGTTTGTAACTTTATTTTTTTTTCTTGATACGGAATATCCATATGATTAGTTTCAATTCTATATTATTATTATTATCATTATCATCATTATCATCATATTTAATTATTGTATATTATATATATATATTATTTGGATGTTCCGTATCATGGTACAACAGCAAAGCAGAAAGCGAGTGCATTTTAAACGACGTTAAAAAAAATATGTAAACAAAATAATAAATGAAACCTACCGTAAATTCACCAGTGACAGCGTCAAATCCAACATGCACCGTATGTTCAAAATTTGTTGGATAACTTATATTTGGTTTGTCTTTGATTTCTTTCGTCTTCATTTTGCCTTTCAATGTTTTTTTCTTACGTTCATCTGAATCTGGTTCTTTTGGTAGTGGGCGCATATCCACTGGCAAATTTGGTGCAGATTCACCTCTACAACATAATCATTATTACATTTCAATACACGTGTATACTATTTTATTAAATAATATATAATAAATTAAGTTAAATTAATAATCAATAATTGTCAATCATTACTCGTATAAATATGTAACAGATATTATCAAATTGAAATAAACAAACAAATTGTTTACATTTTGAAATTTGATAAATGTGTATCGTTCAAATAACATAATAACGGCAGATCTTAAAACTTGGCCTCCTACATTAGAATGTCATCGTATCTGAACTGTGAGAGATTTTATTTTTAGCTAACACAAAATTGCTGGTAGAGTTATTCTATTTTTGGAAGAGACTCAGACTTGTGTATATTAATAAGGAAAACAAGAAAAATATATATATATTATTAACTGTCATAAAAATTGTTCATTGTAATATTTGCAGCAATGATGGATTTTATCTTTAACTTACCAAATGTGTAACAGTTAAAATACATTTTATCATTTCTTTGTTCATGCGCATATATAAACATATAATTAAGAAACTAGTAAAGAGTATGTAAGATAATATTATATACGTAATTTATGTATGCATGTTATAAAATATTTCAATGTCAAAAACCCATATATATATA